AATATAGTATATATATATATATATATATTTATTATATATATATATATATATATATATATATATAAAAACAGAGATATTGACGTTGAACATAGATGTAATATGAATGAATAATATGAATGATATAACTCAATTAAATAATATAATTAAATAATATAAAAATACCAAATAGTAATAATAATGAGATACGATGTAAATATAATAATTAAATTCTAAGTTATCTCTGAAATTTATATAAGTAGTGATATTAAAACGAAATAAAAATAATATAATATAAGCAATCAATAATATAATATAAGCAAATCAGATAATATAATATAAGAAAATCTAAGAAAATAAATAGTATAATTTAAACAAATTGAATAATATAATATGAGAAAAATAATATAATATAGGGAAATTAAATAATATTCCAAATAATATTAGAAGCAATGATTATCTTAAATTAATATATATATAATATTAGAAGTAAGTTATTAAACTTAAATTTAAATATTAGAATTCTGTGAGTGATTTCTTTTTCCTTTCCTTTTACTTTTTCTTTATAGTTATAAGATTCAGCGGAGACAGTGATTGCACTCTCTGACGATTTGGTAACGACTGCCGCGTCTGCGTCCAAGCCGTATCTCTAGGATAGGGCCCGATACAAAGGGGAGAAGCAAACAAAGCACTCCTCGACTGAGCATTTTATTTCGTGCTACGGTTATTTACGCGAAAATAGGAAAAGTTAAATGGAAAAGAAAAAAAGAAAAATAAAGTTAAGACCTAACATTTTTCAGAGATATTCATTAATGCTTAATAATAAATCTTATTATTGCAAAACGAGAATTCATTTAACGTTTTCATCAGTTAAAATTTCGTTGTACAATGAAAGACTCTCCGAACTAGCCCTTCGTTGGAAAGTTTATATTAGGAATATTTTGAGTGATAAGCCTCCCCTTTGATATAAACTAAAATCGTTGAACGCTCCTTTGTCTCATCTACAGTTGCAGCATCGATAACCGAAGAAAAGGCGATTCGAGAAAAAGAAATTATAAATTTATAAAATTATATTTCATTTCAAAAGAAAGCAATGATAATAGTAATAAAATAAAATTATATCTTTTATCATAAGACGAAAGAAAATGAGTTCTCGCTTTATTATTAATTTAATTATTTTAATAATAAAAGTTATAAAAAAAGAATATATATATATATATATAAAATGATAAAAAATGATAAAAGTTATATTAATATTTAGTTAGTCTTAATATTTAAAATCGCGCATGCGTTAACCTAAGGTACCGACTGCATCTACATCATTTCTGATGAACGTCCACAAGTTTTAATTTTCTGCGGACGTTATACTATCTTTAAGTTTATCTCACATCGTAACGCAATGGATGATGTGACGCGTGACGCGTTCAGTGAGAATTCACCTAAGCTTAAGCAGATTAGCCAATCACAGTCGAGAACGTAGGCAGTAACAAATTCATAACGTTGATTTCCTTATTGCTTAAATTTTTTTATATGCCACGACCCTAACAGAGTTATTAAATTTTTAGGGCTACTTTTATCAATTTTGATTAATTTAATTAGCCAATTATTTCAGTGGAATTGACCAATTGTATTTGTTGTTAAATTATAGACAAATTGCGATTGGTCAATTCAAATGGAATAATCAATCGATTATTCCATTATTATTAAATTAATCGGACTTGGTGAAAGTGATCCTTATATAATATTTATTTTTTTAGAACTGTTAGAAATGTTCCATGCTAAATTGAATCATATTATTAGATTTAGAAGAATAATTTAATACTAACACTGAATTATCTAGGATTAATACTAAAAGTAAAAATTCAATACTAGCACAAAATACTTCCAACAGTTGCAAAATAAACATATTGCTGAATATGATCATTTTGTTGCAATTATGTTATGTTTTATTGAAACTTATGAAATTCATTAAATTATTCATTAAATTATTAAAAGTTAATTCAATTTAGACATCTTTTAAAAAATTATAATACTCTAATATAAAAAAAAATACAAAATAATTTTTGTATTTGTAAAATTAATTTAAAAATATCATTCTTAGACGCGTGAGAATAAAGATATGCTTCAATGTAATTTATTTGCTTTATGTATGTGATCTTTATTCACCATCCCTATATGTATCGTGTAAAAATATAATTGTAATTCATTATATAATCATAAGACAGTTTCACATGCATGTATTTGATATTTCTAAATTAAAAACGCTGAATATCATAGCAACATCATCTTATTCATAATTGTTCAGCTTGTTGCAACAGTTGTATTGCCGAATCGATAATATCACAATTCATTAAAGATAGGAAGCCCGAGTTAACATTTTTGAATGTTGAGTGAAGTGCTCGTGATTTGCTTCAATCTCAACATTGTAATGCAGCAATGATTGCAATGGAGTGAACATGGAATTAAAAGTTTAAAGTGATATTCGCTGATGTAACTGGATTTTCTTAGCTTTAAATTTTACTATAGATCCACATGCATAAACTTAATATATCTTTTTAGTTGCAAAAGCCCGAATATTCTATAAAAAGTTCATATTGTTTAGATATACTAATATCACTAATTGATATGGACCAATAACATTTCTGAATGAAGTGTACTTTATATCATTATTATCGAGAACGAGACACTTTGAGAATTTATTGTGCCTTGTGCTTTGTAAAACTCAATAATAATTTTTTGCGCAATAACAATCATTTACATTGTACTATATACTGATCTTATAAAAAATCGCGTTTACATTATATTCGATGAGACTTAACGTTTAACTAAATTGACGCATTGCGATTGGACAATCGCGAACAATGACAAACAACAGAATTTTAATGAAACTGTTTGTTTCACTTCCATGACGGATTTGTTACATTACTGCCAGAGTCGACACATCTTTCTTTAATTAAGTGAAGATAATTTTTAAAGATTACTAAAAGTATTAACATAAGCAAAAATGAGCTAATCTATCTCCTTATATTGTCCACAAAATGTACAAATTCTGTTTTTAAGTAATCTTATTTTTGACAAAGATTATTATAAAACTAAAATTATTCATGAAATCACTTTATGAATACATTTTTTATTAAATGATTAGGAGTGCTATAAATATAGTAAATAGCAATATAGAAACTCGATAAGTTTAAAAATAAAATATAGAAAGATTTTTCTAAAATATAGAAAAATTTTTAACGAGAAACTAATTCTCTTATCAAAAAGACATGATCTTTCATTGTTGCATGTGTATATAATATTTACTTATATTGTACGTGAAAGAAGCATTAACATTTGTAAAAAATGCAAAAACTCCAAAATTATCGAATCTTTCTATATTTTTTTCGATAAATTTGAAATCAGTCTTTCATCGAAAATCAAATTTATATATATGTAAAAAGATTTCGAAACAATTTACTTTGTTATATACAAAAAACACGAGTATGAAAATCAGATGTGATTAAATATTTCACGTAAATTTTAAAGGAGACTGTGTGTAAATCTCGATCCGCAATAGTGTCGGTCCACAATAAGTATTTAATCTTTAAGTCGTAAGAAATTGATCAATCATAGTCAATTATTCTTTTCATATTCGATTATAATTGGTCAATTTCTTATTTCTTAAAGCTTAAATGACCTATTGTGGACCGACACATAGGTATTTAATCTTTAAGCCGTAAAAAATTGACCAATCATAGTCGATTATTTTTCTCATATTCTATTATGATTGGCTAATTTCTTACTTCTTAAAGCTTAAATCACCTATTGTAGATCGACATTAATGCTGACTCTGGCTATCAAGCATATGATTCAACTATAGTTATTTTATTTGACAGGACATAATGAAATGAAATTCATCGAATGAAAATAGAACGAATGATAGACGATTTAATTGAATGTCACTACTAACAACTATCCCGTCACTTCAATGAATTAAGCATCAAATTCTGACCTACGCATTTATAAAATGCTTCTCTGATTGAAAAATGCTTTTCTATTTTTCTATGATACAGTTAATATGACTCAACTCCAAACATCACTGGAATATCGCTTTTGTGATTCCATTTTCTTGATATAATTCGCGGCATCAAGTTCCGACATATTGCCGCGTTCCATTACAACTTTTAATAGTATGTTGTGTACATCGCGGGCCATATTCCTTGCATCCCTGAAAAGAACACATAAAATTTACATGTAAAGATTTAAATATAAATTTCCCTTTTCTAAGAAAGTAGATGCTTTAACTAACCCGCAAACATAAATATGTCCATTTTGTTCGCCGATAACATGCCATATTTCCTCTTTGTTCTTCTCAAGCAAATGCGTGACATAGACTTTATGTGACTGCTCTCGACTAAACGCAGTGTGCAATGTTAATGTGCCATTCTTCACATATTCTTCTAACTCATCGCGATAAAGGAAATCCTCTTGACTTTTTCTACATCCAAAATACAGTATCGTGTCACCGACCTCTTTACCTGAAATTATGATTCAGATAGTGATGCATTTTATCACGATGAATGTATTATAAGATTACTATTAAGTACCATATCATGAACTCACTTTTATCGATAAAAGTATTTTAAATATAGCTTTCCAATCAGATGGTTTTTGAAGTCAGTTTTAGAGGCATTTTTATCGATAAAAGTAATTTGAAAATATGGCCAAAAAGTTTACCGAAGGCATGTTTACCTTCCTTTCTTGCAAAATCCCGTTCTTGTATGAAGCCTCTAAATGGTGCTAGACCGGTTCCTGGACCAACCATAATAATGGGGATATTCGGGCGCGTTGGTAAACGGAACTGAGATTTCCTTAGAAAGATCGGGACGAGACAGGGCGGATCGGAGGGATGCTTCTCCTTTAACCAACTGGTCGTTACACCTCTATTTATCCTGCCAGTCGGAGTTTTGTATTCCACTACTACCGCCGTAATATGAATCGTAGTTGGATGAAGCTAAAATGAAAATTATGATTTTTGTTTAAAAGGATAATGTTTTAATAGATATTTTATTTCTAAAAAATCAATAAAAAGATATACTTTTGGAGACGAAGATATAGAATAGTATCGACATTGTAACCGCGGCAAAATCTCGCATAGGTGATCTAATGGAGGTTTCAAGCTGGGAATATCTTCCAGAATATGCACAATGTTGCGATTTTCCTGAATTATCCATTGCTGATAAGCTGCTTTGCCTTCTGCAGTAGTTGATGCCATCAGTTTTAGCTTTTCCTTGTCTGCAGGATCGGTCGCGTACTCGGCTAATTCTTTGAGAATGTGTGTGCGCGGGTTACTTGTGATATCCAGATAATACGTCAAGGCAGTTCTGTAAGTGCAAGGACAAGGAAATGGATGTTTCTTTGTGGATTCCTCTAAAAAAAACGACAGATTATTTGAAGAAATGCAAATAAATAAAATTATTGAAAGAAAGAGAATAAAAAGTAAATAAATACCATCTGTATTAGTAAGAGTAAAAACAATATCCAAATTCGCTCCACATTGTTCGCCAATTTTGTTCACCAACTTCGCGTTGTTCACAGGATAGACTGCCAAATGATCGCCTGCGTCATAACGTATCTTGGAATCTTCAATATAAAATTCGATATGCATGCATGATCTCTCGGATGTTGGACCGTGTAACTCGCGATTCACTATCACAGGAGCCAAGAATGGATTCTTTGCATCATATGGCCTATAAATAATTAAAGAAGCTAAAAATAAAATAAAAATCATTTAATGAGATTCTATAATAAATAAGGACTTACGGTCTCTGGTTCTTGAAGGAATGAAGACGAGCAAATTCTCCGGTATAGATACGTTCGGCCGGCATATCTACATGTTCCGTGAGTTTGTACTGCCGAATACTAACATCCTCACCTGCTCCCTCGATGCCAAAGAATTCGCAGACGGCCGGCCAAAATTTGTCTTTCCACGTGATAAAATCATCTTCTATGCTGTAATATTAAAAATATTTTTTATAAGAGAAAATAATTTTAAGTTATAAAATTTAATTGTAAATTAGAAATAGATAGCAGAAAGAGTATCGTCTTAATATAATTTCTTATGTATTATTATCTTATTTATAATAAAAGTTATAATAAAAAGAAATATAATTTTAAATTACAGACACACATGAAAAAGAAGATAACACACGTTCGCGGAAACCTACTTTGCATCATCATCTCCAAGACCTAGTTCAAAGACACGTGTAGCACCTAACTGCTCCAATCTGTGATCCACATATATGCCCACCTCGTTATAATGCTCGTAGGTCTTGTTACCCAGCCCAAATACCTTAAAAAAAAATAAAAAAATAAAAAAAATAAAATGAAAGAGAAAAGAAATGTGATTAAAGTGAAAAAGAATATATATTAAAATTCCGTGACGCAATTCTTTTTAGAATTCTTTTTAGATGCGATAATCGCAAAGAAATTCCGATGATTCGAATTCGCGATCCTTGAACAATACCTTATGCAATGTACGTGATAGTGCAGCATGCCGCCGCGTTGTGACGCTAGCGATGCAATGATGCCGCATGACGATTTGAAAGAATCTGTTATATGATGATATTCCCACATTCATCACAGCCAAATGAAGACTGTGAAATCAAGCGGTAACGCGA